GGACAAACACTACTTAACTCTTACTGAACACGCTTACACTACGAACACTGACAAACACCATTTAACTCAATCGTGTCTGCTGTATCCATCCATATATCCATCATAGGATGACTTGGAAATACTGAACTAATTTACCGGGCATCGGAAAAGCCTGACTCTTGTCCTATAAGAAACAAACACATAACTAAGAACAAGGTATTTTTCCCTCAGCCTCTCTCTCATTCCACACATTTACTCAGTAGACTGTCAGCCACTGATCTCAGCAGGATACCAGAGCAATGACTACCCCTACTGCCTGTTCCTTTTATCATCCTTAAACACACTTTATGTAATAACCCGTATTAAATCCATACCATTTGTGGGCAAGACTGAACTTAAAGACACTGAGGAACTACTGTAAAAACACAGGAGAACAATGATCAACGGAAACCCCATGGGCTTTGACTTGTCTTCCCCCTGCTGGAAACACTTCCCTTGTGGTTGGCTCTTTGATGTCCACCAGATCTCAGTGCAAATGCCAACTGAGAGAATTCGCTCCTAAACCCACTATTTAAAGGAACCAACTCTCTCTTGCTCCCAACCACCCTGTTGTAGTCCATTCTGTGAATTCACTAGCCTGAATTACCATGCTTACTTATTCCCTTCTTTACTGCCCGACTCCTGCATGAGCCATAGGAAAGGAACCCAATGTCCAGACAGAGCTTCACAAACAGTAGATATGCGATTAATAATTGTCCAATAGAAAAAGACGTATCACAAAGCAGGGCCCAGGGGCATGTGCTCACATTCCCAGTTCTCTAGGGGGGTAGAGGCAGAAATACGGTCACAAGTTTGAGCTCAGCCTAAGCAATCAGCATAATTCTTCGCAATGAGACCTGTCTCCAGGGAAACAACAACAACAACAATAAAAAGGAACTATTATTTCTAACCCTATTTAGTTACATGGCAGCATGTAACTACTATCAGCATAACTAGAGCCAGATGGATGCTTCATTTGCACTGAAAATTTTTAGAAAGTGTTCAAGATGCAAGAATAACTTCGTGTTCCTCTACAGGTCTTGATTGAAAGCTACCATGTGTAATTGCTGGAAAATGGGCAACATTGAACCTACAAGGGAAAGTATTATCTTATTCTACTTCCATGCCACGGCCCCACTAAAAGATTGTTTTCCAGCTACCTTATATTTTTGAATACAAGGGTATTTGGAGTAGAGTCAGCACAGGGTTGCTTTTGTTTGTCCCTATATAAAGTAAGCTCATACAGAAGGAAGCAAGTCAAGAGGCAGCTGTGTGGCGCTTCCTCGTAACCCAGCACTCTGAGGCGGAGGCAGGAGGATTGGGAGTCCGAGGTCACAGAGTTTGAGGACAGCCTAGGCCACGCGGGACACACTGTCTTAAAAAAAAAAAAAAAAAAAAAAAGATGAAAAATCACGTAAAGCCAAAAGCATCAACAGGTTACTCTGTCCCCACTCAAATCTCAGAAGCCTAAAATATATTTAAGAATAATGAACTCAAATATAGGAAGAATCTCCTATAGGCTATACTTCCAAGAAATTTCCACAAAGATACTTGGGAGGAAATTTACACTTCACAACAAATTAGCAGCATGAATCCTACGGAAACAGAAAACTAACTAAGGTCACTCACTCTGCCTTATTATAGGCATCCCTTTGTCTTAGCGGTGAGAAACAGAGTTGATGAATAAAACCATGAGGACTAACAAAGGGTCCTTTCCCCTTATGAAGGGTTTAAGTGCGGTACTATACAACCCTCCACCCCTTCCACACACCGTTGTAAGTACATTAAGGTAAACTTCTTCCTGCTTGCAACAGGTGCAGAAGACTGAAGAATGAGCCTCCTTCTACAGTTGTGAAAGCCAAGCATCATGTATGCCTGCCTGAGGAGGTATACAAACATTCTAAATTCCAAAGTGGAAGTGGAAAACCATAAAGGCTCTGTCCCCAAAACATAAGGAAACTAGGTCAGTAAAGCCAGAGAAAACAGCCTTTTCTAAGCAGTCACTAAATGGGGTGACTGAACCTCAACAATAGAACATGTGCAGACAACATTCCATCACAGCCGAGTATTCAAAGAGACCCACAGGAGGAATAAGATAGGATTTGACAGAGACATTTAATTATCCAAGCTGCATCTTGTCCGCCTGCATCTTTGCTAGTCTTACTCCAACGCAAAACACAGAAATCCGTGTTCATTTTCCCTCAACCTAAGTAACAAGACAGCTCCAAAATGAGCTTAAGTAAACTTACTGCCCACTTCCTCCTTAAGGATACTGCAAAAACAACTCTCACCCCAACTCTTACCCCAATCTACACAGCACACACAGCCACTGGCATCACAGTCATTTTTAAAAGATGCTACTGAAAAAGAGTCTTTTAAACTTGGTTCTCAGAGACCAGAAGAAACAAGATTTTCTTTGGTGCCACAACACTTTTTTATCAAAGAGAAAAAGAGAGAACTATTACTTCTCACTGGGAAAAAACAACTCCACCTCCCACCATTTTTGACCCTCAGATCAGCCTAAACCTGAATGCTTCCACGCAAAAGCATTTGTTTCCTCGGTGTTCCAAACGGCAGAAAGCAGCACCTGCTTCCTAATCTATCAACCCGTTTCTTTCCTGCAAAAGCTCTTCACCCTTCTTACAAAGCAGCTCCTAGTACCACTGGAAACTATCACTCTCCAAGAAGATACAACCCTGTTTAAAGAAGAGCTTCAGAGAGCAATTTGCCACTGGCCGATTTGTCATCCCAGACGAGACTTCTAACCCTGGCACAAATCTGCTGTTGGTAACTCCACCACCCACCTCTGCAGTGTGATCAGGGCAGGCAGCAGCCCATCCCCAGTACAGACTGCTTAAATCATTGATTTTAAATGCCACACCAGTATGCACACAGGAACCATCAGCACCAAATGAAGTCCCACAACCACAACAGCAGCGACAAGTCATGGAACAGCATCTAATCTTTTCTCAACTCAATTACAGGCGGCTTCACTTTCCTATAATTTGTGGCCATGCATCACTGGCCCCACCCTTCATGTCAGAAAGCAATACCCTGGAGCCCTAGAGTCCTGAAGCCAGGCCTCACAGCAGGGTTTACACTAGCTTGTGTTGTGGCAGGCAGACCTGGGTTCAAGTTTCGGCTCTGCCTCTCAATGCTAATAAGAAAGGTACCTGGGTAAGTTAGCCTATCTGCACCCTAAATTGGAAATCTACTTTCTGGATGACATAAATGAAACATGGAGAGAACCCAGCTGAACATGTGAGTGACCACTGATACAGTATGCACAGAGGAAGTAATCTGTGAGCAGGCACAACCACCTCAGAGAACCCAGATGCCCTGGAGGCTTCCAACAAAGCAAAAACAGGTTCAGCTTCCTACAAAAGGGACGCCTTAGGAAGGAAACTAAAAAACCCACTGCAGACCACCAAAACCACACCAGACAGCTAAGTGATGCTCTGTTCCTATAATGAAGAGAAGACCAGCACAAGTGAAAAGGGTAATGAAAGAGAAAGAACTTCAGGGTAACCCTTTCGACAAAACTTCCAGAGAGAAAACATGGCCTTCTCTAAATTACCTGCTCATTAAATCTAATGAACTCTGACTGTTTACAAACTGAAAAGGCAAAAGTGTAATACTGCATATCCCAAGAAATCTCAGCTGCTTTGTTTCTGAGAGTGGCACATGTATGTACACATATGTGGGTGTATGTTAGGGAACATGTGCCTGAGCACCCATGCAGAGGCCATGTAAGAATACTGGAGCACAGAGAACATCAATGTCTTCCTCTGTTGCTCTCCACCTTATTCCCTGAATAACACCAAGGTTACAGGCAATGGAACAGCCATGTCCAGCTCTAGTGTGGGTGTGGAAGATTTGAACCCAGGTCCTCATGATTGCACAGCAAGCACTTTTATCCACTGAGCCATCTTTTCCGGTCTCCCTGCAGAATATAGTAATCCTGTGAAAGACAATGGGACAGCAAAATAGATCGTTTAAAAACTGACTCTTAGGGGGCAAAAATGTTACATTCTGGAGGGAAAATTCGAGTAATGATATAAAAAGCAATCTAAAAGGTTACAGTCATCTCAATCAGAAACCCTGTTAACAAACAAGAAATGTTAGATCCCAAGATGTGGGAAGGTAAAAAGGGGAGGTAATATAAAAACTAAAACAGATCTGTGCTACAAAATTAGCCTGGAAGTGGAGGTGATCTAATTCAAAATTGAGACTGAAGAAAGTGAAGGTATGTGTGAGTGGCAGCATCTGTACTTATGGAGTCTTACACAGGGAATCCGAACACCTGGGCTCTTGATTGGCTCCTATCCAATCTGCCATGTGCCCTTAAGGCAAGTCACTTGCCCTCTTTAAAACAGTCTTCTTACCCTTAGGAAGTGAGGAAATGCTAATTAGCATGTGATCCTTGACAACCTATTTAGGTTTAAGTCAAAAGTATGCAAAGATCAGGAGCTTTCAGGTCTTACAAACTAGACGCTCGGATAAAGGGGGGAGGAGTTGAGAAAACTTTGAATAAGTAACTGAGAGTCAGTGGAAAGAGAAAAGCTTCATGATGGCCATGTACTCCTGGGGTTCCGAGGAGAGGGAAGCTGTCAGGGTCTCAACAAACTGCGAACTGATCGGCGGCATATGTCAAAATGGACAGGAAGAGGGGGATGGGGAGAACTATCCATGAACTCTCTCCGTTAATGAATCTGTAATAGATCTGGTAATCAGTCAGCGACTCCGAAAGCCGCGACCACGAAAATCACTGTGACCGAACCGTGACAGGGTGCCCAGGAGGCAAAAGTCACGGGGAGTTCGTGCGGGGTTCTGCCGGGTGAAGATTCGGAGTGGGTGGAGAGTGAGGAAGGGGCAGAGGAAAGGCGAACTGAGACCATGCAGGCTGAAGGAGGGAAAGGAGTCAATGCCTGACTCCCTCTCCAAGGTGACAGAGGGATCCGGGTCCGGGGCCCCGCTCTCACCATCTTGACGATGCCTCGCTGCACGGTGGGGACCGCGGGTCCCCCGGAGGAGCCGCCGCTCTGCGCGGAGGAGGCCATGTGTGGAGCTGGAAGGGCAGCGAGTGGGGCGGCCGGCCGGACTGGAGGTGTCAGGATGGGTGTCGGCGCTGGGGAGAGGTGGCCGCGACGAGGAGCCCGCAGGCGACAGGCTTCCGACGGTGGACTGGACGGATGGAAGCGCCAAGCGCACACTGGAGCAGCAGCGGGACTGAGAGCAAAAGAGGAGACGCGATCTCCGCCGCCGCCACACGTTCTACTCGCCGCGCAAGCGTGCCAGAGCGCCACCTCCCTCTGGCCAATTAGCGTGCAGAACCCGCCGGACCTCAAGCCAATAGGCACTCTGTTCATGAAGCCCCGCCCCTTGGTCCCAAAACGGGTGGGGAGCTCCAGGAAGCGCTGGAAGAGCTGATTTGCGGTGACGGGCAAACGATGGGGCGGGACTTCCGGCGAAGTCTGAGACAGCGGTGCCGGGAGGTGTAGTGGGGAGGAAAGGACACGTCAGCATCTGGCCGAGGGGCGCGGGGAGCCATGGGAGCCCCGAAGGCGGGGCCGGCCTCGCCCTCCCGCCTGGCCCCGCCCCTGCCCCGCCCCTCGGGCGGTAAAGTGCCCACGTGGACCAGCTAGCCGCACACCGGAACTGAAGAACCGGGTCTTCGGTCCCAGGGCCGGGGAGGCCACGTCCCGAAGGAGTCTCAGGGCAGTGGAGTTCCGATGTCTCACCCTGCAGAAAGTCGCGGTCCCCGGGCCACCTGCTGATTGATGTCAAACCCTGACCCGGAAAGCGGCCGCGGATCTTTGCCTCTGGGGTCTAGTGCCTGCGAGTTCCACTAATGTTCCTTGATAGAATCAGCAAGCGTCTCTTAAAGGGCTGACGCGCCCTGTTCACCGGGGAGAATTACCTCGTTTTTTCGACTCCTTCCCTACTGCTCCAACTGAGCTTAGGAAAAAAAGCCTTGGGATGTGCCACCCCAGAGCTGGGCAGGCAACCCCTAACTTCACTCCTAACATCAGCTACTTAGGTAAGGACATTGGAGTGGCACAAGAAAAGTCATATTCAAATGGATGTTTCGGGAGAGTTTATATTATTGTAGAGCACAGGTCCTTGTATGTATTATTTAATAATGAAACTTGGCCCTACACTGAAAACACTTCTTCACTGAAGCTTTTTAAAGAAGTTGTGTATTAACCCATCAAGATCAAGTTTTGGGATCAGCATCTTTCTATATCTCCAAAGCCGTCTTCCCTACCATGAATTCACCCTATTCAAAAAAAAAAAGGAGGTCTTTATGAGTACACTTCACCAGAATGTATATATTATCAGTATTGATGACGGCTTGTCAGTATCCTGTTCTCGAAACTCCGGAACCTCATCTTTAGTAAATTTGACCTTTGTACCAGTTTAGCCACCCTCTCCATATTTGAAGCAGTATACATTAGTAGTTGAAATTGCAATTCCAAACATCTCATTTTCTGATCATAGTTACTGTCTTTTTTTCCCTCCTCATCCATTCTCTTTTGCCTTGTTTTAATTTTCTATTTCTATATGACCATTGATTCTACTAATCAATACTAACCAAATTATATAGAGTATAGGTATGCAAAAATTACACTGTCTGCTGAATACTTTTCCCCTACAGCATATGATTTCGTCCTTGGGACAAGCCTACAAAGTACATGCAATCTGTTTCTTCAAAGGAGGGTGTTAATGTTTTGCTTTTGTCTGTTTAAAACTGAACAGGAGCCTGAAAATGATTCAACAGCTAAAGGCGCTTACATGCAAGCCTTGTAGCTTGAGTTCAGTCCCTAGGTCCTACATGGTGAAAAACGGAAAACAACTCCTGCAAGTAAGTTGTCCTCTGACTCCTCATGCAAACTGTGACATGCATGAGCACACACAACACATACATAAATAAATGTATTTTTAAATTGTTTTTAGTGAGCAATACTAGGCCAGTATCTTAAGGGATGGAGTTAAGATATGAACACTCTTAGGTATCTGCTGCTTCTCTGGTAGACAAACACCTCATCCCCTGCCTGCATTTATAGAATCCAGAACCTCGACGAAGATGTTTAATTCTGCAATAAACTTACTATGAGGAAGCCACCACTGTGTGAGCCTTCTGTCTCTGCTCTTCAGCCCATCTTCTGCTTCATTCAGTTCCCCATACTATTACCTGGTGTTCTTACCATAAGGCACTTTTCAGTCATGCCAGTCCCCTCAACTTCAGGACAAAAGTCAACTCCTTGGCATAGCACACCTGGCCCTGAACTTCTTTTCAGCCACTTATTCCTCTCTTTGTTTTGGGGGAAATTGTCTTTAATACAAATGAAGGAGAAGAGGAGGGGCATAAAAAGAGTGGGAGGAAAGAGGAGAAAAGAGTTTAGGAGCACACACCTATAAATCCCATATTTGGGAGACTAAAACAGGAAGACTTATGCAAGTTCGAGGCTAACTTGGTCTAAATGGCAAAGGCCAGGTCAGCCAGGGCTACATAGCAAAACTCTGTCTCAAAAACAGGCAATTTGTACTATACTTTGAGGTATAAATATTTTGCAAACCTTATAGTGCAATTTTGTAGGAAGTTGCCTTATCTTTATTTTCATATAAACGATTCATGAAGATATAATACTCATCAATACAGCTATGTGATTTGCATAATGGTTACAAAACTTATAATTGGTAAACCTTGAACCTAGTCTTACTGCTATTTGGTGGCAAAACCAACCTTCATTTTATTCTCCTGAATGGCATTCAACACCTTCAGGTGGTCAGTACATTTGTTTGTTTTACTCCTGCTACAGCTATTGGCTTTGAGCGCAACTGAGTTTTATCACTGTAGCCTGGCTGCCATACAGATTTCTAAAGGCGAAAGCATAAGCAAATCTCCAGATAATGGTGCCGCATTTGTTGCAGGGAAGCATATTTTTCAGAATCTCTAAGGATGGAATCCTAGTGTTTCTTTCTATTTCTAGAACACTGAAGCCAATGATTAGCAAAGTCGGTTACAGAGGTTTCACCAAGTAATGGCAAGCTCTATTAACTTCCAGATAAACTTTTTCTCTCACGGGTCCAGCAGTTAGAAATATACGTTTAACGGCTCGGGTGTGTCAGTAAAGCATCTGCAGTTCCCTTGGCTTGTCTCTTACAGCTAAGAGCTGCTTTAGCTCCAGGCACTGGAAGAAGAGGAGGAAAGAAGAGGAAATGGCAGTACCAGAAATAGCTGCCAACTTTTTTTAAAATCAGGAAAGCACTAGTTTTCTTGGAAGTACCTGTTGCAAGGACTCCTCTCACTACAAAGGCCACAAAGATGTCATTTAGATTGGCAGGGGAGAATAAATCAAGAATGTGACCTCAACACTGAACCTCTTCTTTATTTCTAGCTCTATTCTGCCCTCTTAGGACTCTGGCTTATTCCCTATCTCATACCCTCTTCATGGTAGAATCCTGGTCCCTCATGCTCTGCAGACTTAAAAAGCCAAAAGCAGTAAGCTTGTGTTTTAACCTTGCTGTCTCTGGAACTAGACTCTCCCTTCTAAGGCAGGCTCCCCCAACTGCCTACCAGGAAGGTGCAGAACAGGGACACAGTACTCCAGCAATTTAGATACACTATATAACTCACTCCAAACACACTCAGCATTTCTACCTCTGTTCACCCAATTCCTTCTGCTTGCAGCTACTTATTGCTCAGTTCACACACAACTTCCCCTCCAACCAGAAATAAAGTGTCCCTTTTCTGTATACCCAGACCCTTTGAAAAATACTTTTCCAAAATGATGTATGTACTTACTCCCATATCCCTCCAAATACTATAGTTATTTATGCAGTGGTTGAACTGGCTTTATTAGAATAAGCTCCAGTAGTCATTAATATTTATGACCTTTGTTGGCCTAGCATTGCTTTCTTTTGTTTCTGTAGTCTCAACACTAAGCTAAAGCAAGGAGGTTACTATGAATTTGGGGACAGTCTGAGCTATATAGTGAGTTCCAGGCTAGTATAGGCAACAGAGACCATATCTCAAGAAAAAAAACCAAAATAGTCTGGGAATATAGCTCAGTTGATACAGTGCCTAATTAGCATGCATGAAGCCCTAGGTTTGATCCCCAGCACTGCATACAACTAGGTGTGGTCACACATCTGTAATCCTAGCACTCAGGAGGTGGGGGCAGGAGGATCAGTAATTCAAGGATATTGAGCTCGGGCCGGTCTGGCTGAGCTGTAATGAAAACTAAGTTTTTAATTGATTCTTATGTCTGCACAGAAGATGGAGATAGTCTTATTCTCCTTCTCATTCCATCAATGTTGGTGATATTTAGAGTAGAAGCTGAGATTGCAGTGAGGGCTGTTTTTTTATTATTTTTAATTATTTATGTTTTATGTGTATGAGTGTTTTGTCTGCATGCGTGTAGATGTGCTACCCATAGGACCCTGTAAGATTCACATGACAACATGACAGCCATGCCACTGATAGGCCAAGCACTAGTGAACTAAGTGGCCAAGGGACAGAAAGTTTACGGGGCAGCTTAGACCAGTTGTGCAGGCTTCTCTTGCTAAAACTGTCAGGATCCATGTGCAGCACGTGGTTTGAAAGTTTGAAACCTGGTCTTCAGTGTTTTCTTTTACTACTTCATGGAATTCAGAACAGTCGTCTATGTTATACTCATTACTTGAACAAATACGTTTGATGCTATCATGTAGAACCGGAACTCTTTAGGGACATCTAGAACCAATGCTGGCAGTGTTTATCTGCATTATTACATCATGACAGAGACTATACATATAATTTTTTTCTTAATGAACATAGTTGCCAGTAGGTTTGTAGTTAATTAGATTTAGAGATCCAATTTTGTAAACCGCAGAACCAACTTATAAAAATTGACTTGTTCTTCCTGGTCTGCAGGAATGACTCAGTTGGCAAACCACTAGTCCTGCAAGCTGTCCAGATTCCCCAGAACCCACATAAAAACCAGGCATGGTGGTGTGCACTTGGAATTGCATCTGTGGTGAAATCCCTGGAGCTTGGCTGCTATGTAGTCTAGCCCACTTGGTAAACTTTCCAGAACTGTCTCAAATGAAAGGGAACAGGCACCTGAGGAACAACACACCACCTCAGATCGTTCTCTGACCTCCACACCCACATGTACACATTCATGCACATATCCACACATACACATGGATGCATGTGCAATAAAAAAGTAAAGCATAAATGTTTCCTGCTCTAAAACCTATCTTGTACCAGACTTTTATTAAGTTTCCCCAGAGAAACAAACTAAAAGAATGTGTCTCCGAATCTGTTTCTGTTGATTTAAGTACTAACTTTAAAAAGATTCTTTGTGTGTGTGTGTGTGTGTGTGTGTGTGTGTGT